TTTGTTGCTGCTGAATATCGAGGAGGTGTGGGTCCGATCCCAAAGCTGATGCATGGTGATGATAAAGTTGTGTGCAGGTTGGACTGTGGCTAGTGCTGTTGGTTTCTGTGGAGTGAGCAGGTTGCGTCCGTAACAGAGGAAGAATGGTGTCTGTCCGATAGCGGCGTGACTGGTGTTGTTGTAGGCAAACTCCAGGATGGGTAGGTGCAAGTCCCATTTAGAGATGTCGTCCTTGCACGCTACGCGGAGGAGTTGCTCTACAATTTGGTTGAGGCGTTCAGTTTGTCCGTCTGTCTATGGATGGTATGTGGATGACATGGCGAGTTTGGTCCCGAGCAGAGACATCAGTTCCTTCTAGAACTTGCTGGTGAACTTAGGGTCTCGATCGGAGATGAGTGTGGTTGGAATGTCATGCCGGGAGATGATGTAGCAAACGAACGGTTGTGTCGTCTTCGGTGTGTGCTGTCGTCTGTGTCGCGATGAAGTGTCCCATTTTTGAGAACTTGTCGATGACGAAAATAATTGCATCATGACCGTTAGTGGTTGTTGGTACAGTAACCAAGTTATGAAGCCAAGGCTAACCACTTACCATGGCTGTTCTGGGAGAGGAAGAGGCTGTAGCAGTCCTGCTTTTTTCTGCTTACTGCTCTTCATTTGCTGACATGTGTCGCATGAGGTGACGAATTTTTGTACGTCGTCTGCCATGTGGGGTTAGTAGTAGTGCTTTGCAATACCGGAGAGCATCTTGTTGCTACCGAACTTTCCAGTGTACATGACATGGTGATATTCTTCGAGTAGTAACTAGCGCAAAGGTGGGTAGTTGGGTACCCAAATTTTCGTTAATCCTTTTCAGTACACAATGTCACTGTCCCACTGTAGTAGATGTCGCTTTTCTGCCTAGGGAATTTTAGGTCGATGGTGTACCCGTGTGTGAAGAGTCCCTTGAGTAGCGGATTCATCCCTTCGACTTGGATAGCGGCAACATGTGCAGGCCGGTTGAGAGCGTATGCTTTGTTTTTGTGGCCAAGCTTGTACATAATGTCATAGCGGAAGTGCATTTCGAGGAACTCAATCCACCGGACTTGCTGCCTGGAGAGGTTTGGCTGCGTCTTCAAATATTTTAGGTTGCAGTGGTCATTGTAGATGGTTGTATTTTCGTCCTTTGAGATGGCATGTCCACGTTTTGAAGGCGATGACAATAGCAAGGGCCTCTTTGTTGTGTATTGGGTAATTTAGTTCTGCCCCGTGCAGATTCTTATTGAGGCTGACGAATCACTTACGAATCTGCGACTTACGTTAGCTGTGACTTACGTTTTGAAGGCGATGACAATAGCAAGGGCCTCTTACGAATCACTTGTTGGCTGCCACGGCTTCCTAATGTTTTGTTTCCAATTCATAGGGCGTGCTCTTCTTCAGCAGATTCGTAAGTGGTGCGGCAATTTTTGCGTACTGTGACACGAACCTGTTGTAATAGTTGGGGAAGCCTAAGAACTGTTGCAACCCCTTCATGTTCTCGGGCATCTTTCACGTGCGTACGACTTCGATCTTCTTGGGATCGACGTAAGCTCTTTGGGTGCTCACCATGTGTCCCAGGAATTAGACCTTCTTGAGGGCGAATTCGCTCTTTGATAATTTGACGTAGAAGCATTCCCTTCGAAGAATGTCGAAGACGCGTCGCAGGTGTTCGACGTGCTGCTTCATATCGCGCGAGTAGATGAGAATGTCATCTAGGTACACCACTACGCACTCGTCAAGTAATGGTCGTAGAATGTGGTTCATCCCTGCTTGGAAGGTTGCCGATGCGTTGGTGAGTCTGAATGGCATTACCAGATACTCGTACGACCCATACCGAGTTCGTAAGGCAGTTTTGTGGATGGAGTTGTCTGCCATTCTTATCTGCCAGTATCCAGACCACAAATCCAGTTTGGAAAATAGCGTGGCTCCCTGAAGCGGTCAAGCAGGTCATCAATTCATGGAACCAGGTATTTATTCTTGATGGTCTGCTTGTTGAGAGCTCGGTAGTCGATGCACATGCGCAGGCTTCCGTTCGGTGTCGGTGTGAAGAGTACTGGGGCACCGTATGGTGGGGTAGATGGATGGATGAGTCCTTTTTCGAGGAGGTACTCGATCTGTTTCTTCATGTTGGCTAGCTCTGTAGGGCTGAGCTGATATGGTGCTCGGAAGGTCGACTTCGAACCTCGTTCACCCACGATCTCGTGCTGGTGTATTTGGTATGGCGGTAGCTCGTTCGGAAGGTCATCGGGGAGAATGTCTTGGAACTCCTTCATTAATTCCTTGATTTTTTCTGAAGGTTCCAAGGCTTTCTTTCCATCGTCTTCTACAACTTTTGCTATCGTTAGGAACCCAGTGTCGGTTCGTTTCACGACCTTCTCGAATCCGCCAGCAATGCAGACACCTCGGGGTTATTTGTATGCCCCAAACAGCGACCTTTTCACGACACAAGGAACGAGCCCGTCAGACCCACGAGGTCGTCCACATGGCACCTGTACGCCGAACTGCGCTCTCCATCGGGCAGAAGGTTGCAAACTACCAGTACACGAGGAAGAATCTGACCTTGCGGCTTGAAGACATTGGGCGATGGTGCCACACCAGGTACGTCCTGTGGCCGGACAGCAGCACAATTGGCCGAGTTCTTGAAACAGAACAGAAGTGGCGGGCCATCGGGCCCGAACGCGCCAAGTTCAAAAGGGTGCGTAACCCACACTGGCCTTTACTAGAAGCTCGACTTAAGAGCTGGCTGAAAAGCACAAATGGTGCTGGCTTGCCAGTCTCAACCACTCTAATCAAGCAGCGCGCATTACTGCTAGCACCCGAGTGCAACGTGCCTAGCGAGTTCAAAGCTTCTGTTGGCTGGGTTCATAAAGCACTGTGCCGTATGGGATTCAAGTGGCGTAAGATGAGCGGAGAGGCGAAGTCTGCCGACGAGGGCGCCACGCTGACCGCGCAACTACATTTCCCGAGGCTGTGCGACCAGCTTGGCCTGACCCTGGAGAACCTGCTCAATTTCGACGAGACCTATGTCTACTACAGTCTCCTACCCGATCACACATTCTGCATCGACCCTACCCCAGGGAAAAGGGTCTGCAAGGACCGGCTTACAGTCGCGCTGCTGGTGAATGCGGATGGCTCGAAGCTTTTCAAGCCGCTAATCATTCACAAATTTGAACGATCTCGTTGTTTCGCAAAGCAGAAATTCGACCCTGCGAAGTACTGCTACTGGCGCGCGAACACATCCGGATGGATGACGACAGAGGTAAATGCCCTGCTTTCAATCGCTTGCATGCAACGTGCCGTATTCTAACCGATACAAAATGAGGCGTGCGACAATAAAAAGAATCAGCTAACAAGAAAATCATCCCATACGCCCCGCGCAGGTTTTCACGGCGTTCTTCGAGCGCATTAACGCATGCTGCATGGCGGAAGGACGATGCATCGTCGCCATGCTCGACAACGCGTCGAGTCACCTGCTCCAATCCCCACTCGCCACATCAGCCGACATCTGCGGGTTTCGAACGCGCGCGCTCTCGCACGTGCGCCTCGTTTACTTGCCGCCGAACACAACCCCGTTCACTCAGCCTCTGGATCAGGGCCTCATCGCAGCTCTGAAGGCACGTTACAAGGTGGAGTTGCTTCTGGCAGTTCTCGCACAGTGGCAGATCCCTGGCGTCACCGTCGTCGCCGTTCAGAAGTGGAAGCCCGAGATGTGGCAGGTGGTAACTTGGGTGTCGGATTCGTGCCTTGGATTGGATACCGCGACCATCCAGAAGTGCTTCTGGAGGACGCGAATGTTGCCCGCCAGCTAGCAGCCGCTGCTACCTCTCCTCGGCGCCACTTCTGAAGAGCGGGAGCCTCGGCTAGAGCACGAGATCGAGCCGGTGCAGCAGATCATGAGCGCCCTGCCATTCGGCCCAGGCGATATGATTTTCGCCGCTCGATTCGTCACCGCCGAGCATGACGATGAGGCGCCTCCCTCTCGGGCTCCGAACGACTCAGCGCGGAACTGTCGCAATCTCTCGCGCATGGCGACAGAGATGCTGGTTGGCTACGCCAAGTCTATTGGCTTGACGCCTCGCGATCTACGAGTGTTGTTCGACATCCGCGAACCTGCGGTTATTGATCGCCTGGAGCGCGCATCCCCCCGCCTGGACACTAACAATGCGCCCGGCGTGGCGGAGGAAGAGTACCTCAGTCATGTCCGCGGAGCCACTGCAGTCATGACCGGATATCCAGACGCGGGCGAGTGGATGACCTTTGGCGCGCAGCCCGCTACCTATCGCGGGTACTAGGCGGTATAGTGGTGTGCTTGGTTAGGCGGTTAATTATGCAGTTCGGGTTTGGCGCATGCATTTGGCGGCGCGAGAGGCGTTGTGCTCTCCCTATGACCTAAGCGGCGAGGTGGTTGTGCTTTGTTGCACGGAGTTGGGTAGTGTTGGTCAACGTAAGCATGGTTTTCCGTCGGAGTCTTATTTCGAGTCTAGTCTAGTGTCGAGTGATGTCTTTGTCGAGGCAATTTTGTTTGTTGCCTCATTACAGTCCATGATTGTCACATGCGGAATCAATTCTGACATTCTGTTGTAATGCAGATTTGATACACACGTGGAGAGGCTTTCAACGGGGCTATGTTTACTCTGTCGCAGCATATGCCAGTCAAGCCACCCATGCACAGTACACAAAAAACAACGTCCCATTTCCTGGGGAAACCCCATAGGTCCACGTTGCCCTTACCGTACGGCCAGTATTCGTTAAAAGGGAAACCTGCCGCGTCGCCCCCCAGGTGCTAAGGGAATATGACTTGTACCTGGAAACGCGCGCTTGTGTCCGCCAATTTTGGGTGTGAGTTGAGCGGGTCCTATTTGGGCACGTTTTATGGTTACATGCCTAAAAGTGGTAACTGAGCTTGGTGTCGAACAAGGCACGAACTTTAGTGACACGCCCTTACTCTCCAATCCAACACCACCTGGACGTCTCGGCCTCTCTGCTCACTAATACACACGCCAACGCGAAGTGCGCCGTCCTTCGCGGTGCCATGCTCGCTGTCCCCAGCCTCGGCTGTCCCACGCCCGTTTCGGACGTGCCCTTCTCGCCGTAGCTCGCACTCGGTTCACTCGGATCGTCTCGCCGCAACCACCTCGCTACCGCGCCACCATTGTCATTACCTTCCCCCGCCTCCTCCCCCCATGACTTCCGCTCTCCGCTCGTCCGCGCGCCACCTGCGCTCCGCCCTCACCGCCGCTGTTGCGTTACCCTTTCGCCCTTCCCTCCCTAGAGCGCCGTGCATGGCCGCCGCCGTCGAGTCGTCTCCGCCTCTGCCGCTCGCCTTCCAACGCCCAACGCGGCCGCCCCGTCCGACCAGCCTTGCGCCGTGCTGCGCATCACCACCAGCGCAGCCTGCGCGCCTCCGCGGCGCCACCTTGGCAGCTTCCTGCGCGGCGGCCTTTGCAGCGGCGGGGCGGGGCGCGGCGAGCGCAGGCGCCATGGCTCCCGTCGTCAGCTCGCCGCTCTCGCCGCGTCTCGCCCCGCCGCAAGCCCCCGCGGAACTGAGCACCCTCGTCGCCCCCACGCACGCCGTCGCCGGCGCCATGCGCGCACTGCCCGCCCTCGCCACCTCGGCCGCCCTGGGCAGTCAAAGGAGGGGCGTATTCGTGGAGGTCAGAAGGGGCGACGTGGACCGCGCCATCAAGAAGTGAGCGCGGGGGGCGGGGGGGGGGAGGAGGAGGGGAGGTGCAGGAGGGGCCACGTGCGGCATTAGCTGGGCTGCCATTCGAGTGCCAACAGCCCGGGGGAACAGCCCGGGGGAACAGCCCGGGGGAACAGCCCGGGGGAACAGCCCGGGGGAACAGCCCGGGGGAACAGCCCTGGGAAACAGCCCGGGGGAACAGCCCGGGGGAACATGCCCGGGGGAACAGCCCGGGGGAACATGCCCGGGGGAACAGCCCGGGGGAACAGCCCTGGGGAACAGCCCTGGGGAACAGCCCTGGGGAACAGCCCGGGGGAACAGGCGGGGGGAACAGCCCGGGGGAACAGCCCGGGGGAACAGCCCTGGGGAACTGCCCGGGGGAACAGCCCGGGGGAACAGCCCGGGGGAACATGCCCGGGGGAACAGCCCTGGGGAACAGCCCTGGGGAACAGCCCTGGGGAACAGCCCGGGGGAACAGCCCGGGGGAACAGCCCGGGGGAACAGCCTGGGGGAACAGCCCGGGGGAACAGCCCGGGGGAACAGCCCTGGGGAACAGCCCGGGGGAACAGCCCGGGGGAACAGCCCTGGGGAACAGCCCGGGGGAACAGCCCTGGGGAACAGCCCTGGGGAACAGTCCGGGGGAACAGCCCTGGGGAACAGCCCGGGGGAACAGCCAGGGGGAACAGCCCTGGGGAACAGCCCGGGGGAACAGCCCTGGGGAGCAGCCCGGGGGAACAGCCCGGGGAAGCAGCCTGGGCGTACGCTGAGTGTGCAAGTGTGAAATGATGCTACGTGCATGCACGCATTTCCAAGCGTGCATGCGACATCCCCTCGTGTGCGTCCCCCCCCCTCCCAGGTTCAAGATCAAGCTGCGGCTGGACAACGCCATCCGCGTGGCGCGTGCGCGGTCGCACTACTGGAAGCCGGCGGAGCTGCGGCGGCTGCGCACGCAGGAGGAGCAGATCCGCCGCCAGCAGAGGGACTTCCGCCAGAAGCTCTCCTGGATCATGGCCAAGCGCTCGCGGTGAGACCAGGGGTTGGCCAAGCGCTCGCAGTGAGACCAGGGGTTGGCCAAGCGCTCGCAGTGAGACCAGGGGTTGGCCAAGCGCTCGCGGTGAGACCACGGGGGCATGCTTGGCTGTGCAGTGAGGGCGGGGTGTGCGGCCATGGTGGTGCATGGCGGCCATGGGTCCATCGTGTGGACGAGGCAAGTGAGCAGGTGGTGCGGAGTCATGTGCGCAGGCAAGGCACATCCATCGTGCACCATTGCTCCGCCTTGTCAGCCCCACACCAGCCACGCAATTGTGGCATCCTCTTCAATGCCACTTTCCCTATTCTTGCATTCACCACCTCTGCTCTGCTCCTTCCTTTCTGCTCCGAGCCTAGGGGCCATCTCTCATGAGCAACAGTGGCCTTGAAGCCATTGTGTGTTGTCATGCTTTGTGACCCCACTCAGCTGCCTTGTGACCTTCCCTCTTTGTGCCTCGCAGAGGATTTTGAAGGCTTCGAGATGCTTGGGGCGATGCGCCCAGTGCCTTGGAACGGTATGAGGCATGCACGTGCATGATGTTGGGCTTAGAATAGCCCTAGGATCTTTTCAGAAGGCTAAGTCCTTGTAACAGAGTGCTTGATGTTAGAATACAAGAATGACTAAAAACAAGATAGAACAAGGGAGATATAGGTTGGAGTTGTACCCTTTAAGAACATACACCTATCTAGCCTATAACTTCTACATACAAACACATGTATAAGTTGACACACCCCTTAGGCTAGATGAGGGGTAGTGCGAAGCAAGAAACACAATCAAGGTCCTAGCAAGTGAGACTCTACAGGAACTAGACCAAGCTGCAAGCAGTGCCGTTGATGATCTTTAGGCACGAGCGCCTTAGTAAAGATATCAGCTGTGTTGGCACCGGAGGCCAAGTGTACTACGCGGGCCTGGCGACGCTGCTGTAGCCCTGTTGTCGGCGTACAAAACCAGGGCAGAGCTAGGCCGCTCACCTAAGTCGGCGAGCAAGATGGTCAGCCAGGGGAGCTCCTGTGTCGCCATGGCACCGGCATAGATCTCAGCCTCACATCTAGACTGGGCAACAGACGACGAGCGAGTGGACCTCCACGAGATGGCACCCGATGTCAAACATCTGTATTTGTCATGTTTGTATAGACTGTATAGGGTTACCTCTTAGAGGGTACAACACTTAGGTATATTTGTGTGTACTCTCACTTTACCATTATTAAATTCCAATTCTGATATGGTATCACGCGTAGGTAGGATCCCCCCCACCTACCGCTTCCGCTCATGCCCCCTAGCGCCCCTCCTGGGCCCCGTCACGCTCCTCCCAGGCCTCGTAGCGCCCTGTCGCGCCCCTCCTGGGCCCCGTAGCGCCCCTCCTGGGCCTCGTCGCGCCCCTCCTGGGCTTCGTAGCGCCCCTCCTGGGCCCTGTAACGCTCCTCCCAGGCCCCGTCGCGCCCCTCCCAGGCCCCGTCGCGCTCCTCCCAGGCCCCCTAGCGCCCCTCCTGGGCCCCGTCGCGCTCCTCCCAGGCCTCGTAACGCCCCGTCGCGCCCCTCCTGGGCCCCGTAGCGCCCCTCCCGGGCCTCGTCGCGCCCCTCCCAGGCCCCGTCGCGCCCCTCCCAGGCCCCGTCGCGCTCCTCCCAGGCCCCCTAGCGCCCCTCCTGGGCCCCGTCGCGCTCCTCCCAGGCCCCGTAGCGCCCCGTCGCGCCCCTCCTGGGCTCTGTCGCGCCCCTCCCGGGCCCCGTCGCGCCCCTCCCAGGCCCCGTCGCGCCCCTCCTGGGCTCCGTAGCGCCCCTACTGGGCCCCGTCGCGCCCTCCCTGGGCCCTGTAGCGCCCCTCCTGGGCACCGTGGCACCCTGCCCGACCCCGTCGCAGCCGCCCGGCCCCGTCGCGCCCGCCCGGCCCCGTCGCGCCCGCCCGGCGCCGTCGCACCCGCCCGGCCCCGTCGCGCCCGCCCGGCCCCGTCGCAGCCGCCTGGCCCCGTCGCCCTTGGCTGGCCCTGTCTCAGCACGGTCTCGTCCTTGGTCTCCCAGGTTCGCTCCCCGCGTTTCCCTCCTCTCCAGCCCCACCTTGCACGCCTTGTGTCGAGGGTCGGCTTCGCCGTGCCCCTCACTCCTCCTCGTTTCCCCCTACCGCCGCGCCGCTGCAGACCCTGCACCTGGACGTCTGGGGCCCCGCCCCCGTCCCTGGGCCGCGTCGAGAGCGCTACTTCCTTGTGCTTGTCGACGACTTCACTCGTTACACCACAGTCTTTCCCCTGGAGCGCAAGGCCGACGTGCCTGGCGCTCTCATCCCCTGGCTTGTCTCTGCGCGTGTCCACCGCGGTCTCCCTGTCTTGCGTCTTCACTCAGACCGTGGTGGCGAGTTTGCCTCCGGTGTCCTTGGTCGCTTTTGTCGTGCGGAGGGCATCACCCAGACGTTCACCCTACCGGACTCCCCACAGCAGAATGGGGTCGCTGAGCGACGCATCGGTTTGGTCATGGAGGTCGCTCGCACCTCCATGATCCATGCTGGTGCACCCCATTTTCTGTGGCCGTTCGCTGTGCGCTACGCTTCTCACCAGCTTAACTTGTGGCCGCACCCTCAGCAGCCGCAGGTTTCGCTGACCCGTCTTTGGACTGGGTCTCCTGGTGACGCGTCTGCGTTCCACGTCTGGGGCTGCCTTGCTCACGTCCGTGCCTCCGGCATGGACAAGCTCACTGCCCGCACCCTTCCCTGCGTCTTCCTCGGTTTTCCCCTTGACGCGTCCGACTGGCACTTTTACCACCCGCCGTCTCACCGGTTCTTTCACTCTCGTGACGTCACCTTTGACGAGTCTGTCTCCTACTACCGCCGCTTTCCCCACCGTGGTCCCCCGGTTACCCCCCCCCTGTTCCTGGTCACCCCTTCCCCGGTAGTCCCTGCCCCTCCTCCTCCTCCTCCCCGTCCCGCCCCCTCTGGTGTGTCCCACGTCACCCCCCTTCCGTCCGTGGACCCGGTTGAGGAGTCTTCTGACTCTGGTGGCCCTCCTGTGCAGTCCTCGCCGGCCGCCCCTCCCCAGGTGTCCCCTCCCCAGTCCCCTCCTCCACCGCCACTACCGCTGCTGCAGCCGTCGTCGTTGCCGCCGCCGCCGCCGCCGCCGCCGTCGCCTCCGCCGCCGCCGCCGCCGCCGTCGCAGCCCCCGTTCGCTGACTCTGGGGGTGCTCGTCCCGGTCGCCCTGGGGGTGGTCCCTCTGGGGGTGCTGGTGTGGAGAGTGCCGGTGGTCGCCGAGGAGCAGCTTGCGGTCCAGGTGTCGCCGTTGTGCCGCCGCAGCAGCGGTCCCCGCCGGTGTCCGCCCTTCGCCTGCTCGGCCTTCCGTCCCCCGACCCTGCGTCGGTTCCTCCCCGACCGTCTCCTCCTCTTCCTGTCTATGGCCCTGTTTTCCCTCCGCCGGACTCGTCCCCGGCTCGTCTCCCCCCTCGTTCCCCTCCTGTGTCCCCTCCCCTGTCTCCTGACCCGACTCCTCCGTCGCACGTCTGGTCTCACCGCCCCTCCCGTGCTCGTCCTGCCTCGCCTGTCTTGCGCTCCCACCCTATGTTGCTTCGTTCCCACGCGTCTCGTCCTCCCCTTCTCCCGTCGCCTCCTCCATCGCACGTCTGGTCTCACCGTCCCTCCCGTGCTCGTCCTGCCTCGCCTGTCCTGCGCTCCCACCCTATGTTGCTTCGTTCACACGCGTCTCGTCCTCCCCTTCTGCCGTCGCCTCCTCTGTCCTCCCTTGTTGTTGCGCCCCCCCCGCTGTCCGACTACCTTTGTGCCGCTCGTCCTCTCGTTCCTCGGGTCCTTGCCTCTCTCGTTACCGACCCGTCTGTTCCGGTCTCGTGCCTTGCCGCTCTTGTCGCTGCTGTCGCTGACTTCGCCTCTACCCGCCGCCTTGACTATGCCACCGCTCTGGTCTCTGACCCTGCCTGTCCTCCGTCTGTCGGGGGTGCTCCTGCCCTTGGCAGTGACGTCCTGGAGGACCGCCAGTTTGAGCTTGCTTTCCTGTCCGAGGCTGCTCCCCATCTCTGTTCCATGCTGCTAGTCCCTGAGGGTGACCCAGACGCTTTCGACATCCCGACCCCTCGCACTTACGCTGAGGCGACTTCGGGACCCTGGGCCTCGCAGTGGATAGCTGCCATGGAGCAGGAGATGGCATCTTGGAGATCCACCGGCACCTTCGTCGACGCAGTTCCCCCACTTGGGGTGAACGTAGTCGATGGCCGCTGGCTCTTCAAGGTGAAGCGCCCTCCTGGAGAGCCGCCTGTCTTCAAGGCGCGCTATGTGGCTAGAGGCTTCAGTCAGCGCGAGGGGGTGGACTTCTTCCTGACTTTCGCTCCGACCCCGAAGATGACTACTCTTCGGGTTCTGTTACACCTAGCTGCTCAGCGTGACTACGAGCTTCACTCCCTCGACTTCTCCACTGCCTTCCTTCAGGGCAGTCTACACGAGCAGGTCTACCTGCGTCGCCCTCCGGGCTTTACTGGCACCTTCCCTCCTGGGACCCAGTGGCTCCTACGGCGCCCCGTCTACGGCCTGCGCCTGGCTCCCCGTGAGTGGCACGACACTTTCCGTGCTACCCTTGCTGACCTGCAGTTCTTTCCGTCTTCCGCAGACCCTTCACTCTTCGTTCGTGCTGGCCAGACTCCGTTCTACATCCTTGTTTACGTCGACGACCTGGTCTTTGCCACGGCAGACAGGGACGCACTGGCCTCCGTAAAGGCAGAGCTGCTGAAGAGACACACCTGCACTGACCTTGGAGAACTGCGCCGTTACCTTGGCTTGCAGATCTCCAGGGACAGAGCTGCGCGCACCATCACCCTGACTCAGTCACACTTGGTGCGCCAGGTCCTTCAGAGGTTCAGCCTTCAGTTCTCCTCTGCACAGCCCACCCCTCTGCCTGTAGACCACAGACTCTCCGCTCCAGTACCTGAGGAGTTGGTAGAGCCCAGCGGCCCCTACGCAGAGCTGGTGGGTTGCCTCATGTACCTGATGACTTGCACTCGCCCAGATCTCGCATACCCTCTCAGCATCCTGGCGCGCTTTGTGGCCACAGGCAGACACCGACCGCAGCACTGGTCTGCCCCTAAGAGGGTTCTGCGTTATCTTGCTAGTACATCGGGCATGGGGTTAGTGCTTGGAGGACGCAGGCCAGTGGTCCTTACTGGACACACAGACGCTTCGTGGGCAGACGACGCTGAGACACTCAGGTCTACCCAGGGCTACTGCTTCAGCCTTGGCTCAGGTGCCGTCTTGTGGAGAGCTACTCGCTCCTCGTCTGTTGCACAGTCCAGCTGTGAGGCTGAGATCTACGCTGGTGGCATGGTGGCACAGGAGCTCCGCTGGCTGACCTTCTTGCTCACTGACTTAGGTGAGCGGCCTAGCTCTGCCCCGGTCCTGTTCGCTGACAATAGGGCCATGATCCTCCTGTGTCAGGAGCCTCGACTCGAGGGCAGAGCGAAGCACATTCAGCTGCGGTACTTCCTCCTGCGTGAGCTACAGCAGCGACGTCAGGCTCGCGTAGTACACTTGGCCTCAGGTGCCAATATAGCTGATATCTTTACGAAGGCGCTTGCGCCTAAAGATCATCAGCGGCACTGTGTACAGCTTGGTCTAGTTCCTGTCGCTTCTCACTTGCTAGGACCTTGACTTGTACTGTCCTTTATATGTATACTCAGACTGGACTTGTGTCCTCTCCCAGTGGCTGGACTAG